CCTTTTGTGATTTAGTGAGGTTTTATGCATACAATGTTGACCTTGAGACTATGTTTTGTAAGCTGAGTGCTGTCTCACTAGTTTTGACCAGCTCGTTTGGTTTTGCATTTCAACAGTAATGGTTTGTCTGAGAGGCGGATCAAGATGAACTGTCGATAATAGCTAACAAGACGAAGATGCACGTAACACATAAAATATTCCAGAGTGCTCTGTTCTGTATTTTCTAGTTTCAGAATACCGTGAATTTCTGTGGTATCTCCGAGGAAGTTCAGCGAATTGGATATTACTTCAGACTGTGTGCTAATAGTCCTTTAAGTGCAGAATCGAAATAATGGTTGATTTTCACCCCACTGTCAATCACAAAGCCGTGAACGTTTGTAATTGCAATACGAATTCAAAACATTTAAAAGCACGGGTGGAGGGAGGGAAAAGTTACAGACCAGAAGGCATTAATGATGAGGACGATGCCTTGAATTCACCCATCTTTGTGAGGCGGAACATTTCGTTTGTTTCAGGCTCGTAATGATTAAAGACAAAGCAATCAATCAGTAATACTGAGTTTGTTCTCCTATGCTCATCACTCAGACTCATATTTCCAATTTTGTGTTGAAATCACTGTCCTACTAAGATAATCGATGACATGCTAACATAGAATTTTACATTATGACTTAGTTGCTGGCATCAGATGAAAAAAGAGAACTTAGAAAAGCTTACAATATAAGATATTGTTATTAGAGTTTCTTAGCACTACACTCTTTTTATGCATTTTTCATTCTGATAGACAAACCTTTTTTATGCTTACTTCTACTTCCCTTCCATCTTTTGAACCCATTCCACCTTGTTAGATATCATGACACATTGTTCTCTACCAAATTTATTCTCTTATCTGAAGGCTATAACAACACCTCACTTTGGCTAGTATGGGTTTTATCTACCAATTTATCATACCTTTTCATGCTCAAATACAAATTGATAAAGATTGTTTGGGGTTTATATTCAAATGCCTTAGTACTCCTTTGTCTCCCTTTTCAGCATTATGCCCTCAAATCCCAGCTATGAAGCTCTTCACGTTTGAAATAAACGTAACGTACGCGTTTTCCAGGGTCCTAATTCATACCAAGCACTCTTAGTATTTACTTCACTACAAATTCAAACTTCTTGAAAGTGGTATTGCATAAATACTTGGCATCACCAGAGTTCTGAAACGACTTCGAGTTTGAATTTGATGTACGGAATAAGCGCGATGCCATTTTCGAAACGAATTATAAAAACTGTACTCACAGTGCAATACTAAAACATAAACTTTATCATCAACTCTGTGGGACATCTGCATGAATGTGCTGTCTTTTATCTTTATTAATTTTATTTATTTAACAACCCTACATAGGAAGCGTACTGTGAGCAAATTAATGTTGCAAATTAAAAATCATGCCCGCATAAATGGCATGTACCTTCTCTGGCAAAATTATTTTATGTTGTCTATGTGATGTTTTACAGCTTAACAGACGTGAGTAAAAATCCAGGTCGGAAAGGGATTGTCATGACCATTTTGGAGATACCATCTACTACTACAGGAACTTGATAGTAAGCTTTTACTGACTTGAAAATACTTCCATATCTTTAAGGATAACTATCAAATTTTTTGCAACGAGGAATAACGATTTAGGGCAGTTGTTTGGTATGATTACTTATAACTTCTAGTTAGATGCTATACGTTGTGGTAATTTTTATGAACAACCATTTCAAAGTCCGGCGTGCGGTAACATTTTCTTTTTCCCCTTCTTGGTTATCAACCGGACTGTTCTCGATAATATAGGTCATTATGTGTATGATGCGTGATGTTTATAGTTATACATCTCGATTCCGTGTTTGCTTGCTTGCCTCCAGGGACCTTGTAGGGCATTGACTTAAAGTGTTGGTTTGATGTGTTCCTGACCGTGAATAAACGTTAATTATTGCTGAAAAACTCCATGAGGAGAAACAGCTAAGTCGTTCTGTTTTCGAACCTCCGTCTGTAGGGTTTAATGAGTATGTAGAATTATGGTCTACTATGATATTAGTACTGCTCTAATAATAGACCTAATCCTAAATTTGTAGATTTGTCATGATATAACTGCCCAATCTATAAGATCTTACGTGGAAGTCACACCATCGACTACACCAACTCACTGTATCCTATCAATTACCAATACATGATGTAGAACAAGGTTAGGCTAGAGAAGGAACAATATATTTAATATGAATAGAAGATATAAGGTAACATTCGGCAGAGACCACGCCTGCATGGCCGAGCCATGCCACTCGATCAACTCCAGTCCATTAAACTCTTTATTCGCGCCTTCTCCATCGTTAGGTATTTCTCCGTGTTAAATATTGAATATCTATTTTCTGAGTAGTCTTGTGTTCAGCTTTGAAGATTGTGTGGTTATGGTCCAATGCCACTACAAGTATGTTATGGTGTCCAAGCAAATCAGTATAAAGTGTAGGTAAAGATGCATATAAGATCCAGAAGTTTCAGTATGTAAGGTGCTGCAAACTTAGTGTAACTACTAGAATTCCAGTATTTGGTCTAAACTCAGAACTGACTAACCAAAGTTTATTCGATGAGGCCAAAGTAAGTTCTGTATAGCGTGCAAAAAGTTTTGAATGTCTCGTATTAAATTATATCAAAACACAAACTCTGTGCTCAACTTGAATGGCTTTATTCCAAGAAGGAAAACAAATAATATCAAAAGTACAGAATACCTTTAACGATACAGTCTGTTCCACACAGTAAAATGTTTCCCTAGTACAATATATCGTGCTAAACAGCAAAAAGAATGGTTAGTCAATATGTGTTCTGTAGCTGGGAATCAACTAGAACATTCCTAACAATATGGGATCAAATCTTTATTTTCAAGGACTCGAATAACCGTTTTCATCGGGCCGTCAAATATCAACAAGCATTAATTGGATCACGCTGCGACCTTGAGTTTAGTCAAACACGACTCCATTGGCAATGACCTGGCAACATGAAACAGTAAAATTAAGTGATAAGGGCAATTCTTTAACAAAATCCAAGTAATAAAACCCCAGGCAACGAAGACTGACAACTGTGAATGTGGTTACAACAGACATTATTAAAATTAAAATATAAGACAATGAAAAAGAACAAGAAAATAGCAATGCTGTTCAGTGAAACACTTTTGGGGGATTTTCAGCATATTATTTTGTTACCCTAGGTACCGAAATCCCTCTACCTTCATACGGATAATTTTGAATATATTAAGCCATTGCCGTACTAGCTAACTTTCCTACCATAATGGGAAGTGCAGGACTTATAGCAAGTACGCCTGTATACGTATAAACTTGAACGACAACCAGCGGTTATTCAGTTCCCTCCCTAAGACAAAGCCCGAACACTTCCCTTCTTATAAATCCTTCTTCCGTACTTACCGTTACTGTTCTTACAAGACCATCTCCATCTACCTCATACTTATCCACTAGCTATGAGCCGAGAATAGTAAAGTCGTTAGCCACCAGCACTATACCATCTAACCAAAAGTTTGCGAAGCCATTTCTGTCTCACTTGCAGTAACAGAACCTATTCTTTCATTCACCGACTCCAGAAGGCATTAAGTACACAGTTTGCCTATCTCTATCGTTCTGAGTACCTGTCCGTAATAAAGCAAATAATCCTCAAATTACCAGTCTTTTAGTAGTAGCAGGGTGTTGGGTGTGAGCATCGATTCATCGTTCTCATCAGATGTCACAGGAACGATGGAATAGTTATACGACATTCTGTTACCACAAGGTAAGCTGATAAACTGTCATCGTGTAGGACTTGTTCGTTATAAATGGCTAGCGGAATCCTTTGGACATGACTTGTCAGTTTGTACCAAACTCCTAACTAGTGCGGTGTTGAAATAGCAATGTACGTCGTATGATGTTGTGAAAACGTTTATCCTATGTTTGTTCCAGACACTCATCATTTCTTAATTTAGACGTTGCCGAGACATAATAACGATCTAGAGAGATTTATAATTTCACCCTCGGTTTTTTATGCTTCCCGCTGTTCCACTGATAACCAAAGCGCAATGTACAGAGAAAGCTTATCCTCCTTCCTCGTTATTTTGACTTGGAACGACATCTATCCTAACTTGTTGTAGAATTTTGAAAAGGAGACGCTGTCAGCAACATCATAAGCTAAAGCTACTGACAGTGAAAATTCCGAATATTTGAAAGTTTATTGATTACGAGAAGTTATATATTGCCACTGAACAATCTTTTAAACCTGTTACATGGTATTTCCTTCACAATAAGGAAGAGTCCAAAAGGTCGCGTGGGTGTTGTCAGGGATAAAAAATGGAGTACGTTTTTGAGTAATAGGTTATAAGGCACTAAATCTTTCGTTAGTGTGTCTATAAGAATACAGGGAAGGGATACGAGGTAAACTAAATTCAGCCAATTATATTCAAAGCAGACGGATGTGAAAATATCTTACACAAATCTGATAATAGCTATGAACGTTGAATGTAAGTTTTGATTGGAGCTTTAAGAAAGATAAGCCCGATGGAATTCAATTATCACAAACATGGTGAAATCTTACATTTTTCCAAATCGCTGATTGATTTTGTGTTGACGACTGCGCTGTTGCCCCGTCTTTGCTTTTCCACTGACCGAATACACTATCTTTGGCAATACTACTGGTGACTTGGCGGAGAAATAATATTCTATCTACCATTGCCTTGCCATTGCCTGAACGGCGTTATCAGAGCAGAATGCCCAACCCGTTCCCCCATATCTTCAATACACTGTACAAAGTAGGAGTGTTTTATAATTTCCTGGAATCCATTACTAAATAAGTAGCACTTTTGAAGGTGTTTCAACACCATTTTCAACTTTACTCACCTGGTGTTTTAATTAGTCTTTTCACTTATATTTGCCTCCATTGTATCAAATGTACTCGCGAGCGATGTTGTTGCGTACTTCTCGTTACTAGGATCACCGGATTTTCGTGCATGTTTTGCAGTCATACTATTCAGAAAAGTTTCGTGGAATTAAAATCGCTTGTGGACTATACAAATCGAAGAGAATTCGGTAAGACTGCATGTCACGAACATCAGAGCGTTTCGGACAAGCTCACGGCCCAGCGATCTACTAAAGCTCTAATAGCTGACACACCAGTCAATTGTCGCTCTGTCTATCTACTTCGACTTAATTGTTCCGGCCGACTTGTTGCTGCGGCACATGGAGATCGCTCTGTTTGTGTTTATTGCGCTTCCACTGGCCGACTACTGTTAAAATGCATTGGTCATGAAAAATCTCCTTGGACACTAACTGTAAGTCATACTTTCAATAAGTACTGTTTATTTGGAACTGGGTTTTGGGTAAATGTTTCTGTGTGAAGCTCTGTATTAAGAAATGGTAAGAATATGCTCGACCTCCACTTTGGGGAAGCTGCTATAGAAACATCTGTGGAAATGATAAAAAAAACCAAAACTTCCATAGATCTAGGAAGTTCCCCAAAACTTGAGGAAAACCCGAAAGTAACGAGACTGAGTGGGTTTCGTTCACCTAATGGTTATTTCAACTCCAATATTAGAAATGATTGATCCTGTCATGGCAACTAAATAAGCCACTGGCAGTTAAAACTAGGTCCCGTTCCTGACTGCGTAAAGTGAATCGTTTGATTTAGCACTGCATCGAGTTTAGTAGTCAAACTTCTGTTATCCTAGTCTTTTAGACGTGAGTTTACGTAGTAGGAGCTCCTAATAGTTCTAGTGGGTTGTAACTGACCCTGTCATCGTTCTCGACTTGTGAGCTGTATTCATTGCTCGTTGATCATGTCACGATTTAAGACACCTATATACCATGAACTGCTGGCCGCACAGCCAGTTTTATATTTCTGTATTTATAGAATATCGTGGTACTTGAGGTAGTCAGTAAGCTGTGTGTGGGATTCTTCTCCAATTACTGTTAGAGCGGCTAGGTCTTATCACTAACTTCTACAGTACGAGGTTATCGGGCGCAGATGCATCCACTCTTTGTGTTCTCCCAAATTCTAATATTCTGAATTATGTGTCCTTTTTTCTCTTTCCAAATTTATTTCACTGTATTATACTCCTTGGATAACATTTTCAAACCCTAATCTTTCCGACTACTGCTTATACTCTTACTACCTCTACCACTATAGGATTTGAATCGACAAATGTATCTCTGTGCTAATGTGATATGGCAACTCGAATTGATGTACTCACGTACGAAGTTCTACGTTGTTACTGACTGACCAGTATTTCAGCTACATTGTCAAAACGTATAGTTTTCAAGTCTTAGCTGCAATTTTACCGATGTCATGGAATAAATTAGTCGAGAACGTTGCTTCTTGCATAATTGCCCACCCTAGTCAAAGTTGAAGCAGATTTTTAAGTTCACTTGACCACTTGGTTGGTGACTGTATCTCTCGTTTTTTGTACTACACGTTAACTCGCTACTAAGTTTCTTAGACATGAGGTACTCAATTTCATCTTTCTAATTTCAATATCTTGTTCACTGTTTTCGGCTCCTAAAACTTCACATCTTACCTGAAAATCAGCTTTCATTAACTTAAGTCATAATCTTGGCAAAGCATATCCCTCTCTAAAATAGACAAATCCAACCTATTTGACTCGAGTCCGTTTTAGCAAGTCCTAAAGGTTGGGGTCATGAAAATCCACATTCCTGACAATACATCAGTGAGTCAGCTAGCTGTTGCGCGCTTATTCCGCTTAAAGGGCCTAAGCACATTTTACTGCGTTATCCAGGTTTAGAAATGTGTTCACATCTAATGTTAATAAATTTAATCGTTTTTGATGGTCAGTGATGCGAGTCTGGAGTAGAGGGAAATTGATTACGAATACACTGGTCTTGAGTGCTGTTAGATGTATGAGGACGGTCATCACTTCCTGGCCGCCCACACCGTGGAAGTGTTCTTCCAGAGGTGCCTGAAGAGGAAATCGGGTTAGAGGTGGTCTTAGTGACCTGAGAATCTGACCGCAGTGCTCAAGGGATAACTGCTTGAGGCCGGTCACACACGACCTTTTTGTGAGTAATTTTCGTGTTAGCTCTGCACTTGTTAAGACCTTACCGCCAGAGACGGAAAGCCATGGGATAATGTGAGGTGTAGATTTTTAGGGTCGACCTTTTCTAACCCCACCCTTCGTTGTGAGAAGGCAGCATCGCTGTTACGCTGGTTGCCTGAAATAAACACCTTACCGCCATCACACCTCTGTACAGTCGACAGTACGACTTTGCCTTGGGTTTGGTACTTTTATTCTTATCGCTCTTCAAACGACCTGTCTGGCATGGTGAGACCCTGAGGAACGAGTGTTCTAGCTAGTATATTCCTATTGGTTCATCACAATAGGCAAGCCCGACCACCACGTCAAGATAGCAGTAGCGGTCGGAAGTCTAGTTAGTTCATCTGTTGGAACGTGTTCAGTAGTGGGTAGAATGCGAGTCCAACGTATGGTTTCATAACTATACTGTCGTGTCGTATTTAACGTGTTGTCCTCCATTGCCACTGACTTAAGTTAAAAGCAGACAAGACAGTTTATATATCTTTCATGATTTTACCAAAATACAAACTAGCAAACCATATTTTGTCTAGTTCCTATAGAGTGCTAGTCGTCCCTCATAAAGGATTTATAACAAATCACTGTGCAATCTCTGACATCCTAGTAATTTGATTTCTATTCATTTTGCAGAACAAGTGGTCAAATGTTGGGATAAAATCATTTATAAATGCTCACCAACCTGATTAGACAGTCAGTTAGTCGGGGAGATAAGACTGACTGACTGAGATAGTCAGTTGCTCGGAAATCTAAATACCAGTGTTCGCAAATGACCAGTTGATATTGTTATAGCTTCAGGGAAAAATTAGTTGTTCAAGGTAACGTGAGCTCATATTATTCATCTGAGTGACTGCCTACTAGTTGGCAACACTAAACTGTGTTGTACATTCAGATCCCAACTAACACTGATTAGAATGAACAAAGTAATATTACTGATCAAGCGCAACTTAATCAGTTACACAATCCTAGATTCGGTTGTTTATTTGTGTTGGGTTATTTCTGAATTTTCAGTAAAAAGTTTTGGTCCCAAAATACTACATTTAGTTATAATCAAGCTGCCTGATACGGAATGTGGAATACAACACTTGGTTATCCCTTTATTGTTTCATACCCGATTCCCTTTATTATATTAGAGAGCAAAAACAAAGGTTGGTTCGAAATAATGAGTTCATTTTATTTCATCAGGTTCTTATCAGCTGCTTGCAATCTATAATATTTTAAAATCAAAATTACAAATATTGGCATACTTATAAAAACGAGGGTGATTAGAGATAAATATGTATACCATGATGTAGTGGAAATTCCAACCGAGTTAGTAAGGTCATAAAGATTTTTGTTTCAAACAAATAAATAAAGCTTAAGGGAGGGAAAGTTCCAGAACACCGAACTAATGATCAGCACTTATAGAGTTAACAAACATTAGATGGTTGTGTAATAAAGTAACTGAAAACATTAATGGTAATCAAGAAAGATATGAGTTGAATTGTCAGCCATGAATTAAAGAAGAATGGCAAAGACGTATTCAAAACTTTAAGAGTTGAAATAACGAACAATGCAATAAAAAGGATGTTTCAGTTTTCCTGTATTTACTTGAAACCTGAGGAACGTCTAAAAGATGACCTAGTATTTCCGTTTTAAATCCTATTACCTTGTATAAATCTCTTTTTAAATAGTTTCATCCAACACAACCCTTCTTGCTTGCGAGTGGATGCCTTGGTGGCAATGTACGGCTTTGGAATTTAGAGCATTTGGCAGTACTTGGTGATGAAAGAATCGAGGGCATTGTGGAACTATCATCTGTATGCGTTTGGAAGCACACGGGTGCAATCGCATCCCTTACTTTCCATCCAGTTCATCCCATACTAGTAGCAGCATGGTAAGAGATTCCTAAATGTTGATCTTTTAGTCTTCTTTCTGTAACTTCGTATTTACTCATTTGCAGGGGCTAATTTTCTTGTTACCTGTTTGATAGCGTCAGAACCTTAAAGCGGTATTGTTTGGTTGACTAATTTTTTCAACTGGATACAGAACTTTAGTACCCTAAGTGAAAACATTTCGCTAGTAGTGTTTGATATAAAGGCTATAAGAAACTCCTAATGTTGTTACATAACATATCCTACTCAGAAAAACCCAGTTTTACTGAAATTTAGATGTTGCACTTTAGCGTTTCGGTTGCGAAAGTTCCTTTGGAAAATCATCTTAGTTAATGACAATTTAGTAGTCAATTATTTACACACCTAAATGGACTATAGTCTGTTCTCTACTCCATTCTTTAAAGTCTAGAGCACGTTTATCGATGTGGCAGATTCTTAGGTGAGCCCACGAATGGAATTCGGAATATAATATCCTGTCCCCAACTAAATTCCTAGTTTTTTAATTTCTTACTCGAGTTTACTATAAATTTCTACCTTAAAGCAGCTTTTTCTTGTGACAGATTTGTGTTTAACAGAGAATTAATAAACTTCTTCACCTATAGGACTCAAGAAGTGGTCTTTTATGATTGGGTATCTGGCCGGATACTTTCGGCATGGCGATTTGTATCAAATCATTCACGCGTAAGATGGGTGAAATTCGCCCCTGATGGAACAGTCTTATACACAGCAACCGCCAATCCATCCAACAATGAATCAGTTTATGTACATAAGCAATCTGATCAACCAGTGGTTAGGAGCCCAACAAAAGTAGTAGCTACCAAATACCCGAAAGAACCATCTTATATCCAAGTGGATCATGGTATGTGCTCATCAACTTAACAATCGCATTATTTATCTTATCAGGTTCCACTTTGATACACTAATGTTTCGTCATAATTTTCCATTCTAAACAATCGTATTCATTGTCCTTAAAACGTAATCCTATATTGGTCGTTGCTTTTAAAACTTTCTATGATAATTAGTGTATTTTTATCTTATACTCTAATGGTTAGTGTAGTTGACACAGACTTTTTTGTGCAGTTGTAGCTGCCGCCTTGATTTGATGTTCCGGCTTGCATTTCTCGATGACCTAATCTGGAAATTGGGACGCTTTTATCTCTAGGCCCCATCATCCCGAACAAGTTAGTTGAAAAGTAAAACTAAAAGCAGCAAATTCCTCTGAAGTAAGTTTGTACTGCAGACTGTATAAGTCTATAACAACAGCAAGGTGTTTCGCTCAGACAAACTATCTCCAACCATACTCACAACTGAAAAAGGGGATTTAAAAGCTTTACTCTATACATGACACACCACGTTTCTTCATTTATTTTCATCTTCGGGGTTAAGTCCTTGAAAATACGGAGCTAACTCATCTGAGATTACTCGAATAAGGGCATGTGCATCCGGTTGCCTGTGTTCATGCCAGCGGGTCTCCAAGACTATTCTTAACTTTGTTTCGTCTTCAGATACCTCAAAAAGAAGTATCCTTCCACATTGTGAGCCACTGCGAAGTAGTGGACTCCTTCATGGCGCTAACAGCACGCTAAATCACTGCTTTCATTATCAGACCCCACATTTATTGCCGAATACTTCTGTTTCCACTATCGTCCCTCATTTACCACTTATTCCTCATGTACAACCAGTACTAACGATTCGAGTTCACGAATTGCTATTCGAATCCCATGTCGAATTGAACAACAGTCGTCACTTACGAAGACCTTAGGATCTCGTGTCATCAAGGTATGCAGTGTCTCCTGAAACACTCATACATGATCCTAGCGTTGTCATTTACTCGACCTCACATGGGCTCCAGTATCCTGAGGGGACAAATGGCGTATGAACCATTTGTTGGTCACTGGCTACCATGGAACTGCATCTCCTCACGATGCTCCACTGTCTTGTGGATCAGACCTTTAGGTCAAAGGCTCCATGTGTGGCCCCCTAAGAAAACCACCTGCTTCGGTTTGGGCACCCGGGCAGTATCACAGCCCTCGCACAAATCAAATGAGATTTGTGTGGCGCATATGCATTTGGTGCCTCCTTGTACCAATATCTATATGTTCAAATAAATAATTAAACGACCTCACTCGGCCACTATGAGGAGCCAATAGAATATACCACATGCGCATCTGAAGACCTGACATCAATTTGTGATCTTAACCGTGTAGGTATAACGCTCTAAAAACAGAACATCGACTTCTTGATTTAGTTCATATCAATAGTTGCTTATGTGCTGATCGTTTTGATAGCATGGTAAAACTTTGAAAATATGGGGGTACACCGTTGCCTCTTCATAGTTTTTGCCCATGGTCGCACTGTCTGCAGTAAAAGATGAATTTTGCGGGTAAACCTTCAGAAAGCCAGGCTCTCAGATGTGGCAATATTAGCATGTGATTTTAACGCAAAGTCTAACTGGCAGATAACCGTGATCGTTTGCTGCAATTATGCTCAAATAATTGCTTATTCCTAGGAAGTACAAACTCCAAGGATGAGAAAAGACAATCTAACCTGGTATCCCTCAACGTCAATACAATAGATATAAATAAGTGATATATCCATCGGCTCTCGTTAGAGAGACTTAATACAAGACCACTTCTACTGGAGCACATGTTCGGGCTCTTATCATGCCGTGGTAAAAGCACGCATTTTTGCGCTCTTGACCGGACGTGAATTCACAACAAAAAGACCCTCTAAATATCAATTGAAGGATGAAAAGGTCAAAAATGCATTCACAAAGGGATTGGCTAAAAATCTGGTCTATTGTAGAAAAACGTTTGGTTCTGCAGATACTTGGAATAATGTTCAGGCAGTTGTAAATAAAGTATTGCATCTATCAAGTGCTCAAACCAAAGCATTTCGAAAGATTAGTGAATTTAGGTGGCATCCGCTGAATTGTTTGAGGCTCAAAAGTTCATCCCAACAAGCTCAAAAAGTGATGAAGTGATAACTCAAACGCCAACTAACAGAAATTTTGTGTAGTGATCGTGAGCAGTGGTGGGCAACAAAATCAGAAGAAACGGAAAAGGCTGGGGCGATTGGTAAATTTAGACGACTCTACCTACTGATCGAAGAAACAGGTGGTAATAACTCGAGAATTATTGAGGCTATCTAAGGGAAAAACCTGACAATTTTGCGCCCTCAATCCAGGAGATAAGACTAATGAGCAGAACACTGTAAGGAATTGATCAAATGCCCTCCAGCTACCCTTCAATTACCAACGAATTTCCTTAACTCTTAATGAGGTTGGGAATACTATAACTTATCAAGACAGAGAGAAACAGATCATGATTAATTAACTCCAGTTGTGGTCCAGGTTTAGCTGCTGAACTATGGTTCTGCTCAGTTTTGTGATTCCACGCAATCCTATCTGATTAGTGACTGGAAGTGAAGTAGTTGAGTGTATTGACCACTACATTTATCTTGGAAGTCTGATCAGGCCTGAAGGGTTGCTTACTTACGCCTGTTACCCCTAATGGAGGAGTATAGGCCGCTCACCAGTATTCTCCACTCAACTCTGTTCTGGGCAATCCTCTCCAGTTGCTATTCATGCTTATCATGTCTGCTTCCGATTCCCGACGCAGTGTGCTCTTTGACCTTCCACTTTTTCGTTTCCCTTCAGGATTCCAGGTTGGCGCTTGCCTGGTGATGCAGTTTGATGGTTTCCTCAACGTGTCCTTATCCACTTCCAACGTTTTTTTCTAATTTCCTCTTCAGCTGGAAGTTGGTTTGTTCTCTCCCACATTAGGTTGTTGCTAATGGTATCCGGCCAACGGAAGGGTTAGGGTGTCTATATTGCTCCACAATTCACTCTGTAAAACATGGACTTTGAAAGTAGAAGACTTGTGTAAGCTGCAATTTTATTAATCATAGGTGTCTTCAAAGCATTTCTGGTGATTTTTGGAACAACTTAACGAAAAATATGTAGGTTGGGCATTTGGTCATAGCTAAAATGTCAAATTGGTTAGTGAGTTTTGTTATGACTTTATGTCCGGCTTTTTATCACGTGATTTATCCACCAATCAAAATACGACTTATACAATCTTAGCACTGCGCCAAACCAATGACGTTCGACCGATATGAGCAGCCTAGCGTCTTATTTAGTCCTATGTCTGCCTAGCCGGTCCACTTGAGTCCAGAACACAATACCAGCTTCTGCAATATGAATCATTTATTTCAAGCATGCTCGGTTTATATATCAACCAGACAAACCACAACGTACCATAAAATAGAAAATAACATTTGTACAGTATTTGACCAAATGTGGCTGTGAACGTGGGAGTCAGTAGTCAATAAACTGAACATAGCTTAAGAACCGCAAATCGTACAATAACAAATTATAGGTCAAAATAAAGCTTATAATAAGAGGAATATAAATATACATAATCTAATTGTTGGATAGTTATACCATAAGAATATATAGATAATATTGGTCAATTAATGTCTCAGAAGTTACTCGTGATTTAATCTTCGCTCGGATATAACAAGTTTTGCAAGTCTTCATCTATTGAAGTGGTTAGAACATGTGGAGTAGGGTATATTGCATGTAATGTAACCATAATGTGTCGCTCAGTGCATCTTTCCCTTCATTTAGTTGTTATGTAAGGTATTTTGTAAACTTTATAAAATAGTTTACACTTCAGCCCAAAAAGTCGCATCATAAGCGAGTCTTTATACCACACCTTAACTTAAGAGCCGCCTTGCACCATGTTGGTTTAATTGGTGGTAGGTTGAAAAGTTTAATACTTTGGTTTGTAGGTAGGTTTTATTTCAATAAAACTGTTTAAGACCCTTTAAAGTCCCAACCGAAGCTGCTACCTTGACGCGGTGGTCGGGCTTGCTTATCGTGATGACCCAACCGAGCTATATTGGCTGGAACATATGTTCCTGTAGGTTTTACCATGCCAGGCAGGTCGATTGGAGAACGGTTAGACTAAAAGCAGCAACTCAAGGTCTGAGGGCGAAGTCGTACTGCTGACTGTAGAGGGGTGTGACAGCAGTAAGGTGTTTCCCTCGGACAACCAGCATCTGCCGCGATGCTGTCTTCCCACAAGGAGGGGTGGGTTAGAAAAGGTCGACCCTAAAAATGTCACCTCACCTTACCTCACGGATTTCCGTCTCCGGCGGTAAGGCCCTTTGAAGAACGGAGCTAACACATTAAAGACCTTCCACAAAAAGGCCGTGCGCGACCAACCTCAAGCAGTTGTCCCTTGGGCTCTGCCGTCACGCTCCCAGGTCATTAAGGCCAACATTAATCCAACTTCCTTTTCAGGTTCCTCAAGAAATACCCTTCCACGGTGTGGGCAGCCGGGAAGTGATATCAGCCCTCATACCCGTAACAACACACGAGACCAAGTTGGTCACATTCAAATCCTTCCTACACCTCCTTATACCACTCTTATCTCCCCGACTAACCCTTCTCACGTCCTTTCTTCACCTCGCACCGCTAGGGCAAACGATTCGAGTACGCGGAACGCTATTCCTGGTCTCCTGAAAACACGCGCTAAACTACACATAGGAGCTTTTAATGTCCGAACGCTGTGCCAAATAGGACACCAGGCTTCCTTAGCTAAGACTTTAGAATCCCGCGCCATCGATGTATGCTGCGTCTCCGAAACGCGCATACAGGATCCGAGTAGCGTCATACACTTGACCTCACCATGCCGAAATAAAGAACCGACTCGACTCACACTTCGTGTATCTGGAAGCCGTGATCACATCGCTATCAGCCACCGATGGAGGGGCTCGATAGAAGACTGTCGCTCATTCTGGAGCACACGCTTAGATTCAGATCATGCTCTAGTACAAGCACGTATCTGTCTGCGTCTTACTGGACGTAGGAAAGACGCTGCAAGGAAACCTCTTAGGGGCCTACTTAATTGATAGTCAAGCTAAGAGTATATTTCAGGAACAACTAGGAAAACAGTTAGGCAGCCATATAGGTGATGCCCACCCCGAGACAGCATGGAATGATATCCGAAAAGCTGTGGAAACAGCAGTGATATCTGCTAGTACGGTAACCCGTAAGGTTAGGGAGCAACACTGGATCTCAGCAGCATCTATCTCACTGATAGATGCTCGGGAACTCATTCCACCTGGCTCTGAACATAGTAAAGAGCGGAGTCAGCTTAAGCGCAAGCTGACAAGAAGTCTACGCAATGATCGTGAACAGTGGTGGGTAGCGAAAGCAAGAGAGATGGAAAAGGCAGCGGCAATAGGTAATAGCAGACAATTGTTCAGAATCGTTAGAGAAACCGACTGTTAGCGAAACACTCTCAGAGAAAGATGGACATATTATACATTCTCAATCCAGGAGATTGGATCGATGGGCAGAACACTTTAGAGATCAGTTCAACTGGCCTTCAGCCACACTTCGGTTTCCCACGATCTCCAGTCAACCTGAATGGCAAGTTAATTTAGGTCCTCCGTCTCTTTACGAAGTTGAAAATGCCATGGGAAATCTGAAACGAGGGAGAGCAGCAGGCCCTGACAGTTTTACTCCTGAGATTTTTAAGGATGGTGGTTCAGTATTAGCAGTGAGATTAACTGAGATCTTAGGTAGAATTTGGGGACTGGACGTAATCCCATCTGACTGGTCTCAATCACTGATTGTGCCAGTCTATAAGAAAGGACAAAAGTCCTCTTGTGACAATCACAGAGGAATCAGTTTGACTAATATAGTGTCTAAAATATTAGCTTCAATAATACTTCGACGCCTAACCAAAGCTCGTGAAGAGCAGATTAGAGAAAACTAGGCTGGTTTTCGACCTGGACGTGGTTGTATAGACCAGATATTCACACTACGTCAGGTTCTAGAACACAGACACACGTTCAGACGCCCCACAATGGTAGTATTTCTCGACATTAAGGCGGCATTCGACTCCGTTGATCGTGAGTTTCTATGGCAGTGTTTGTCACTGAAAGGAGTACCAAAGAAGTACATTAACCTTATAAAGGTTCTCTACTCGAACACAACTGGTAGAGTGAGAGCTTATGGCGAACTGTCATCAGAATTGATTACCTCAAGTGGTGTTCGTCAGGGCTGTCCTTTCTCTCCATTCTTGTTCAACATTGTGGTCGACGTACTTTTAGAGATAAAACTTTCCTCGTCTAGATTTCCAGGGGTTGAACTTCTACCAGGAGGTTCACTTGTTGACTTAGAATATGCAGATGACATAGTTTTATTTGGTAAAGACGCTGACAAAATGCAGTCTTCTGACCACTGTAAGCAACAATGCAAGCATGTTCGGGATGCGATTCTCTCCCTCGAAATGCAAAATGTTGCTTCAGGATTGGGTTGCATTGACACCCGAACTAATGATAGGGAGTGAAGTAGTTGAGCGTGTCGATTGCTCCACTTATCTTGGAAGTCTCATCAGCCCTTGCGGTCTGGTGTGTGACGAAATCTCAGCACGGATACAGAAGGCTCGACTAGCTTTTGCTAACTTGCATCATTTATGGCGTAGGCGAGATATCCGTCTATCAACCAAAGGACGTGCAGCAGTTCGTCCCGTCCTACTTTATGGCAGTGAAACATGACCGGTAAGAGTAGAGGATGTTCGTAGGTTACTAGTATTTGATCATAGGTGTCTTCGAAACATTGCTCGTATATCCTGGGACCATCGAGTAAGTAACGCAGTTGTTAGGAAATGGGTACTAGGTAAGGATGGCAAATCAATTGATGACGTAGTGAAACTTCATCAGTTGAGATGGCTGGGACACGTGTTACGTATGCCCAACCACCGACTGCCTCGACGTGCGATGTTCAGTGGTATAGGAGTAGGTTGGAAGAAAGCTAAGGGTGGCCAGACCAAAACATGGCACAAGTTCATGAAATCACTGACAAGTGGACTGAGTCATGTTGGTAGGTGTAGACTACCTGGTTGGGGACCGCGAGATGATAGCAACCGATGGTTAGAGACCCTGAATGACTCAAAATCCTTTGCAATGGCGCAGGTGCATACACTCTTTGTGTTCTCCCAAATCTTGGTCTCATTGTCTCTTTTTTTCTCTTCCCAAATCTATTTCACTGTATTATACTCTTTAAATAACATCTCCAAACACTAATTTTCCTGATTACTGCTTATACTCTTATTACCTCTACCACTACGGGATTTGAATCGACCACTGCATCTGTGTGCTAATGTGGTATGCCAACTCGAACTGATGTACGTACGTACGAAGTTCTACGTTGTTACTGACTGACTAAAGTCATAGTTAATTCTGTGATACATGTTTACGAAATCAAACTATTTATCAAAATGTAAACAATCTTTAGCCAAATATACTTGGTCTAGCCATACCTTAGATTAATGGGTAGACTCTGAGACTAGACAACGATTGCTAAGAATGTAAGGATAATAAGTGTTTAGGTGTGTTAGTGTTCCGTTTTTCATACTGCGACTCATTCAAACCGGTTCTGATGTTTTTTACGAAGATTTTATCCTGATATGAGTCTAAATCAATTGATTGGACAATGGTGTAGTCTAAAAATAATTAACATGCTTGGAAGACATTATAAAAATATTCATAATGTTATAGATTTCGTATCGTACAGTCTTTAAGACTTTTTTATCTCCTGAAACGAACACAAGAAGGAGAGAACGTGAACGGGGAAACGTCTTGACTTCCAGTAGTGAAGATTAGTGTTCAAACCAGAGATAGGCACAATTGATATTACACGATATCATGGAAAACCAACACAACTTTCGACACAATGAATTAACTTGTCTTTCAGAACATGGAAATCTGAAATATAACCAATTCACCAACATTCTTACATAATGCTAAACCATTAAGAATGTATTCCACCTCACATGGATTAACATTAGCAATACAGACTTAATAAAAAGAAGCAAAACGCAGAACAAAGTACAGTGCTTTTAGATGTATGAAGACGGTCATCACTTCCTGGCCGCCCACACCGTGGAAGTGTTCTTCCAGAGGTACCTGAAGAGGAAATCGGGTTAGAGGTGGTCTTAGTGACCTGAGAATCTGACCGCAGTGCTCAAGGGATAACTGCTTGAGGCCGGTCACACACGACCTTTTTGTGAGTAATTTTCGTGTTAGCTCTGCACTTGTTAAGACCTTACCGCCAGAGACGGAAAGCCATGGGATAATGTGAGGTGTAGATTTTTAGGGTCGACCTTTTCTAACCCCACCCTTCGTTGTGAGAAGGCAGCATCGCTGTTACGCTGGTTGCCTGAAATAAACACCTTACCGCCATCACACCTCTGTACAGTCGACAGTACGACTTTGCCTTGGGTTTGGTACTTTTATTCTTATCGCTCTTCAAACGACCTGTCTGGCATGGTGAGACCCTGAGGAACGAGTGTTCTAGCTAGTATATTCCTATTGGTTCATCACAATAGGCAAGCCCGACCACCACGTCAAGGTAGCAACAACGAAATACGGCTTCTACAATAGTTTATAGTAATGACGGAAGTGACGTACACCCCGCCACCAGTTTACGCTTCTGACTGATTACTTAGATAAGTGACGGGAACGTGTGTCATATGTACTTAGTCACCGTCTACCTTGATTGACCATATAGAGCAGTGTAGGCTTATGCCATGAGAAAACTAAGGACGATCAAATCAATACTCAGCATCAGTTCATGAAGTTATTGGCTACTGAATTGAGTCATGTACGTATATGCAGACTACGTGGTTGTGCTCCACTCGATGAACTCAACCAGTGATTGGAAACGGGTAACATAGCTGAAAATCGTTCACAATAACACAAACATTCGTTCTTTAGCTTTTTCTCGATATTTAATCCTAGCATTTCTTCATACGTACCTGCTCTGTCGTCTCATTCCATATTCCGAATGTTCAATTGTTCTCATCATTGTTACTACGCTTTTCCAATCTATTTCACAGTTCATCTTGTCATGCTAATTGATTGTGTCAATGTGGGCCAACTCATATTAGTGCCACGCTATACCAACTGATTGGCAGGACAAAAAAATAGTTCTGAGATTAGATGTAAGGAATTAAATACACATGGTAATTTAGTTGATGAAGCTGTGGATTTTCGTTTATTGAAATGGTCGAGACATCCTATATATATACCCAGTCATCTCCACAATGTTGTGTGGCTTGAGTTGGTTGGGAGGAAGCCAAAGATAGCTAGTTCAATGCGTATCATCAGTCCATTAAGTCGTCATTGACTCTCGTACCAAGCCATTTAATTAGATTACGAGAGTACTTCATCTTGGCCAACTCGTTAACCGTGATTAATGAATGATATGGTTCAAAATCGATCTCTGTGATCTAGATTCATTAATTATTTTTCTTCTTCGACACTTCTAGTACCGAATTTGTTTCATACTTTTTCGCTAATTTATTCCCTTCTGAACCATGTTCTTGGTGTTCTATTTATAACTATCATAGATACCACCATTTCCCCACTCTTTTGCTATACTCCATGTTAATTTTACCTATGTGAAACAAAATTGTTTCGGATTTGTGCTCGGTTTATAACTAACTGAAGCACTTAATACGAATTCTTAAAACTTTGTTTCAACAAAACGGAAAACTATGTATTTTTGTTTTTACTTATTCGTCTTTTTTGTAGATGGCGTCAATGTAACTCCCGAAGCCTCATGTGATCTCACAGTACCTCGTGATACTCTTTTAGAATATCTTGTCAATTGTTCTGATTCCTGGTTTCAAAGTCTCGGTATATGTTCCGTTTGTTCGGTTCGTTTATGTCGGTGGGCTGGAACTCTCGGACCTAAATTCCCAGCAACGACGACAGATATTCGCCTTGGGATGTCTGTGGCACAACAAGCCGCAGCTATTATGGCCACCAGTACTTCGTCCAACATGATACCATCACATGTCCAACATCTACTGAACCTGACAAATCCTAATAATCGTTCTGAAGTGTATGAGCGTCTCTGTCGTGATGCTAACCCAGCTGCCGTAGCCATAATTGAAGATATGCCAGTTCATGAATTCCTTCGCTCAAGAGGCAACTACTGTCAATCCCCATGGGTTGCAATCTCGAACAACGGTGTATGTTGTGGTGGTCATGCTTGTGATTTGGTGATTACTCATCGCGAGTTAATGCGTCATTCTTTATGTCGGCCTTGCCTCTCCTCGTTTTGGTCTTGGGCTAACAAACATATTGCTTGGTGGCGTTGGTCGTTTTCTACAAATGATGAACAATCTCTAAATTCTACGTCAAATGCTAGCAGTACAACAGGTTGTGTACCAACTCCTATATCCTTTGGAGTAAGTAAATAACAGATTTGTACTTACTAACGCGTAAAAATAAGGTATTATTCCTTTTTACTCTGTAATAAAATCAAAACCAATTGCAACGTCGCCCAACCAAGCTATATGTGCAGATCATAGCTACTGATTACTAACCTTTGATGTATGCAACAACCTATACTTGGAATATACAGTCTTACTTGTCAGTTATATTAAGTTAGTTTTTGCAGTTCTATACGTCAAATAAGTTCTAATAGATTTGTATTTTTAACAAAGACCCTTCGATTTATCATTTTTAATTCGACTAGTAAAGGATAACTCAAAGTAATCTTCTAACCGCTCATCCTTATAAATACAAACTTACGTTCTTGGTCTATGGTTTTCGGGGAAAACATTGACTAGAACTGGTATTGCAGTTAGAAATTCTAAGGAAGGTAAACACATAAGAAGCCTCTTTGATCGTGTTTTTGGCACGTCTGTTTACCATGTTATTTCAGTACGTGGGATTGAGTAAGAAAGTGACTATCGACACCAAATATGACTTTAATCTGTGAAGTCATCAACATGATATAAAGAGTAGTTGAGTTCCTAGATAGATTCTTTTAGATAATGCTATCAATGGTTGAAAATCGTCAGTCTCTTAATTCATGTTTAGTCACATTGGCAAAAATGGCTTTAATTTTTTCCCTTAAGTCCCAAATACTTTATTATTGGTCATTAATCTGTGTTGACATATATTATTGCTCGATTATTCTTTTTACCTTATGTATCGTCAACTGTGGTGACTTGAGCTTATCACTTGTGCAAAATTGTAGTTTCGGCTTTCTTTCAGTATTTGAGTTAGTAATATTAAATTTAGGTTGATTATTTCACAATAATATGATTAATCTGTTATAGATTTATTTCATTGTAGCCTGTGTTTAATACCACGATTTTGGCATCATATTCATTTCATTGTTCTTAATGTTTATCCAGAAAACGAATAATGCGGAAAAGTCTTCTGATATTGAGCCTCCTGTTGGCATTTGCATCCAGTGTCAAGCTAAAATGTCCTTACAGTTACAATCATCACCCAGTGTGTCACTGACATGTAACCAATCTCCCGTTTTATCTCATGGAGCTGGTTCTGAACTTAAGGAATCCGACGTCCTGTCAGTTAATGGAAAAACTTCTAAATCTCTCCGCTTAATGCCGCTTGCAGCTTTGGATCTTTTGCGTTCAAGGTTAAGTAATGCTCATGAAGTTACTCCAGTAACTTATGTAGCCACCGACTTAATCAACGATTTTGTTTTCAGTCAACACATCAAAAAACTGTTAATCAATGGCAGTGATTCCGATCTCAATTTATCTCATACCCTGTGGGACTCAAATATTACTATACCTTATAATCAGGTGGGACAGATAGTCGTGTGTGCCTCTTCTTCATCTAAGGTATGTTATTTCCCATGATGACAGTTTCGGTAATTTTTGTATTTAGACTAAGGAATTTTTAAATTAAATATTTACGAGGTTACTCATCTTTTTCTCACAAACGCACCTTTATTCGTTTGATAATAATAAAAGCAGTAGTGCAGCCAAAATATGCCTTTTTACTCTCCGTGTCTAGTGTTTTGGATATCGCTGGAGTCGTTGGTCAGCATTTTTCTCCCTTTGATCCACTAAATCTAGGTTTTAAGCTGCTGATGTCAAATATTATAATTACTATTTTTTGACCGTGAGGTGCGATCATTCCATCCATAGATAAGGTTTGTAAGAATATCACCACGAAAATAAAGCGGAGCCAACCGAAACTAAAGAAAAAGTTATCACTAGGTAAATTTGTAATATATGTGTACCGTGCAACCTTATTGGAAATCCTTGTCTATTCATTTTGTTGCTCATACTACATACACAAATCTCTAACCAGCTAACTATGTATCTCAATGAAATTTTCATAATTATTGTTACTAATTTTACCCCCTAATACATACCTGTATTATAACGTGATTAGTCACATTGGTTTAAATTCTGCGAATTCATATTTATGATGGGTATTTCGGTTATTACTTGTAATTGTACAAAAGTTGCTACCGAGAATATGTAACTGCTTAGATTCTCCCTAAAACAGTTGTTGCGTTGTTTCTGTAAGATTGCACCCACAAGCACATTCATCCTGGATTAAATAGTAACGTAAACTAAGCTAGTAGAAATTCGTTTTTTCTTATTGTTATCATTGAACGTAAAAGCATAGTGACGACTTAACAGCCTTCCTACCTGAGCACAACCCTGAAACTAAATAGTTCGGGCTTTGTGTCCAGCGATCCCTAAGTAATCGCTCTTGATAGATAGAAAAAGATTATCTCGGTCATTGATAGGGTTATTTAGGGCGTAAAACATATCTATAGCAAAGGTTCGAGATATGAGCCAAGGCTTCAATGTCACTGCCAAATACAATCGATTCATTTGACGCAAGTTGGACAAATAAAGCTCACCCAAAAGGTAGTCCAATGATAATAATTATCTAGTGGCACAAAACGTTTCTTGTGTATAGAAATTTTAAGTGAGAAACTAAATGTATTGAAAAAAACTAATCCGTAGGAACGTAAAACAGAAATATAGTATTGTTTAAATATTGAAATCAGTGTTAATTTCTTTTATCGTTTGTTAATTTGCATGAAAAAATCTCAATTATCTAGATTTGTTTTGATGGTATAGAGGCTCCAAGGCTTAAATCAGTAATACAATTTCATGACCGTTGTTGTCACTCGGATAAAGCTTATCATTGTTTCCATCCACTGATTAGTATCCTACTCATTGACTAGCAATCAGAAATTCGCTCATCAAAAACCTTTTATAATAGTTGTTTATGATCGTACAATGTAATTTGCAGATTTTAGAATAAAAATGAAACTGCTTTATATTCCTGTACAGTCACTGAATTGCATTGATTTTGTACACAGTGGTTCGTAGAGCTATGTATTATTTTCCATCTTTGTAATTATATGTTATTGATTCTATTGACTGTTTGTTAATTTTGATCTTTCAGCGTCGAAAAATGGATAATCAATTTCAGAACAAAATACTTTTTAGTCAGTGTGGTAGTCAATTATCTTTTGACAGTAGCTCAATTTTAAAGCCCGTGCTCATGGATTCTGATCCAAAAGATGAATTATTTGGATCTAAACTTCCGAACACTCTTCTAACGTGTAAATATCGTTTGCCGCAGGAGGCCTCTGATTTGGGCGCATACACGCGCGACAACCCTGATAACAATTGGAATTATCCACGTCCTGCTACCGTTCACTACACTTCTAGTGTCATACCTTGGATGTCATCGTCGATTTTCCCGTACGTCCAGACTGGAGCTTCTCTGTTAAGATCTCCCCGCCAACTTACCGATTCTCTTTCGGAATCCACTATTGTGGATCAAATTTCAGGGTTGTCAACTTCTAACAAAGTCTATATGAACGATACACAGCATGTCGACAGTTGTGAAACTGATCCATGTGAAGGTAATCCTACATTATTTTTAGTTGATGTTATTTATAAATCCTATGTTGTTTCTCAAACTTCTTACCCACAAACCCTCTTGGGTATGAATAGGGATTAATATTCATACGGCGAGACTATAATTTATGGACGAAAGAATCAAATATAAGACTAAAGGTTTTGGATTTTGGCGCGAATTTCATTCATCCATTTGCTTAAATAGCGTTTTTGGCATTTCAGATTATGTCAGATCGTGATGAAAAACATAATTCTAGTTTTTCACCATAGTTTATAACCGTCATTTGGTCCTAGTTAGTATGTGGACATTCTCAAGGTCGCTTCAGCGTCGCTCAAAGGTCTTCCATAAACTATGGTCTCACCATTCATACCTTATTCTCAAAGTTCTAAAGATCTCTCATTTTCGGCCCGTTTTCTGTTACTTCTACCAACTAATCTACCTTCTTCGATTAATTTTTTTCTTTACAACCACACAATACTTGCCATTTATTAGAGTAAACTTCATAATTTAGAGCTTGTAGACGCTTGTCCGTAGATGTGTGCATCGGTGGGTTTCCGAAGCAGTCATGATCTTAATAATGTGAATGTTCGCTTAGACTCAGCGAAGTCATTATTTGCTTATTTCATCACTGCGATGCTAGTTAAATTAACAAACTGTTGGGGATGCTAGATCCCCAAAACTCACTTGGGAAACGTCTTATTTTGTAATTTATTTTGGAAATTTGGATTTCTTGTTTTCGCACCAAAAGCGCCCATTTTCACCTTCATATCGTATTTCCCACTAAAGGGGACATTAAATGTCATTGATGCGTTGTCTCTTTTGATATGTTATTTTGTAACGTTTTCAAGAACATTTTTATGCTGTATATATACGCTTCAGTTGTGCTTGTGCTTGTTCCTGTTTATGGGATACATTTTCCCTCTTCTGAACCTGGACTTCTCTCTATTGTTAGTGGGACTGAGACACATCGGATTAGTTAGCTTATTTGGTCATTGTGTCACTGAATCTTCGTTCCATTTGCCGATTTAGGTGATCTCGTAGTCTCTTCAAACATAGCACAAACCTAGACTTTTGTGACCCGTTGTACATATATAACGTTTGGACTCTTCAAACTATTAACTTAACTTGCAGATTGTAGGTTTGAGTTTCCAGGTTAAGGCAATTACTTCTGCTACCCCTCGTGACGAAGCATAGGCCTCCCATCAGCAATCCCCATCGAATTCTATCTGCTTCCGATTCTCGACACAGTGTGCTTTTTGACCTTCCTCTTTTCCGTTTCCCTCTAGCATTCCAAATTAGGGCCTGCCTCGTGGTTCAGTTTGATTTCTGTAATGTATGTCCTGTCCACTTCCGTCGTTTAAGTAGTCACATGTTATATATCTATTTATTCGCCCACTACATCATTTCGTATACCATTGTTAAGTTGCTTTTGTTATCTGTAACGAAATCTTTTAGTTTCAACTAATTCTCGTACCTAAAGGTAGAAAAAACATTTCATGAGAAAATAAGAGTTACAACATTTCACAAGGGTAACTTTTTCCGTATATTTATTAAGTTACTCTGCAAGTTTTGCCAGTTCCGAACCTGCATTCTAACTTTTCGGGCGAAGTTCTCTGAGAGGCAAAAAATGTGAAAAATAAAGCCTCTAAACAGATATGACAACCGAGATTTTGGAGGTGTTACTTTTTTCAGTCGTGGGTACTGACTGCCAAATTATTAAGGCTCATTTGTATTTACACGATGAATTTAATAACTGCCAATTATTTTGTTTTGTCAACTTGTTTGCTTTCAGGACCCAACCGAAGTTCAATGACTGCATGTTGCCGTTGTGGCCGTATTGTTCTTCAGACATTTCCCGTTGATCCACACTCTAATATCAGTGCAGTTGTTTGTGAAAAGTTAATTTATTCTGAAAATCGGTACTTAACTCCTAGTTCCCAGAAAGCTCATGGTAACATTCATTCACAATGTTCATCTAACCAAGATCCCCATACTCCCACAAATCATCCTTCTTATCAGTTTGACTTATCGTCATTGAACTCTTGTCCGTCTGGTTCTACTTCTCTGTCTAACCGATCCAGAAACGTGGAGGCTAGAAAGTCGGAAACTGCTGAAAGATCGGTGAATGCCGTGCTTCATCTGATTGACCAAACAGGAAATAATTCTGTTTTAAATGCAGTGAATCGCAGTATAACTGAAGTTATAACAGGTCTCTTTGTTGATATGGGTGAATATGGATCCGCCTCTAGTCTTCAAGTGAGTTTTTATTAATATAGCTGGGGTGTTTTATTGTAAATTTACTTCTTCACCGACCACTGTATAACAAGAATCCCACTACCCATCACTCCAAATTCTGCTAATTAGTTATCACACAAAACTACTGCCCTAAGAATATGTAATTTTCAAGATTATTCAGATATTCAATTTAAAAAGATCAAACTTAGTAATTTGTTTGAACTCTCAAGTGATATTTATTTTTTATTTATTTATTTAAACACATAAACATTGGTACAAGGAAGCACCAAATAGATATGCGCCACACAAGTCACTTGATTTGTGTGTGAGTTCTGATACTGCCCGGGTGCCCAAACCGAAGCAGGTGATTTTCTTAGGGAGCCATATCCCTAGCCTTGGGCCTAAAGCTCTAATCCACAAGTCACTGGAGCAACGTCAGGGGGTGCAGTCCCATGGTAGTGAGTGGTCAACAATTGGTTCGTACCCCATTTGTTCCCTTGGGATCCTGGAACCCATGTGCACAATTGGTTTGGAATCAAGGTTTTCAAATTCCTGTAGGTGGATCCTCCATATCCACCAACCTGGTTAAAGCGCCAGACCTTCGCTTTTCGTCCTCTCAATTTAGTAAACAACAGTAATGCTGCGAGAAGGCAGTGAATAAGACTTCCCTGACAGTGGTTGTATGCAATTGGCCATGTCAGAGCATTTCGAGCGAGCTGACTTTCCCCGCTCTCGGCCATACCATGGCATTTGGGGGCTCTCAAGTGATATCCAAATCTACATTCGAACAAGTAAGACATACCTCAATAATTACTCTACTATATACAGTAAATCTAAAGATGAATTAGCTTAATGTATCCTTACAATGAGTTAATCTCATCTCTATACAATATACCTCTTCTTTATAAGTTTATTACATACTTCTATCTTCCCAAAGTACTGTTAACTGTTGCTAGTTTGTTATGTAACTAATCTTCTGTTCTTTTTTTCTTGACAGGATGTTACACATCGTATTTGCCGGTGGGAACTAAGTTTATGCAGTCCTATCTATAATACTCCTTATTTGTCTTCATCTGGTGAACGTGATTCAGCAAGAAGTGTGTGCTTGCCCATGCCAACCAACGTTGCTGTATCATATAACAATAATAGTCTTGTTGTTCCTCACGCTCGTTTGTTTAATGACTCATCTGTCTGTCTCTCACCAGATGGACGCCTTCTTGCTGCATTTGTTATTCCTCGAGAAACATCGTGCTATACATTACAGTCATCTCAGTCTTCCGCTTTACTCGGTACACTTCTCGCTGTGTATCGTCTGCAACCAGAACATAACCGTGGTCAGTGTCTGTTCGCTCGCCGCTTCACCGCATCTAGTCCTGTATGTGTTGACTTCAGTCCTTTAGGAGATTTTTTGGCAGTCGGGTTAGCAACTACACGCATACCTTCAGAACCATTCTCTACCACGAGTGAGTCGTCTACACAAGAAAGTCTTTTAAGATATGGTAGTTCTTCATCGCTCCAGGACCATTCAGACCTCCGTCAGCCAAACGTGAAATGTTCGTGCCAAAGACAATCCTCTGTCGGTAAGTGTTTCGATATTATTACTCTCTACTTTGATTTTAGTGAATTGAGCATATCGGTGGAACAACACGATTCATAATTAAATAATTTTTGTCCTTTGAACAGACACATCCAGATTTTGTAAATTGTACAGTTATTTTAACAAATAGTTCCACTGTCGTGATTTAAAGGTTATTTTGTATCATTTATTGTAATAACTGCAGACAAACTATCTGTAACTGTTACGCTCTCCACCATCTAATGTCCCCTAGATACTGTATTTCTCTCGACTTTTTCCAAACCAGAACAAGCATTGAGGGGGAACAATATATATTCCAATTAACCTGAAAACACAAAGATATAATACCAGTAAGATTATATGGAATTTACACGAGCACCTCTGTTCATTCACTAGCATTGATTGATGGGAAAACGGAGCAATCAACACATTCCGGTGTGAGTCCGATCTCAACAAGGCTAATCAAAGTCCTATGTTGTGCAAACAATAACAATATGGTTTATCATTAGTAATTTCTAATCAAATAGGTGAAATGCATTTGTAATAAGTGTGTTTTAAAGTTTTACCCATGCATACTAAAGCCAATCTATCCTGGTTCTTCATGAACGTGGCAATAATTTTTCATTATAATCTTAAACAAGAGACGAATTCAGAATTATTACTGTATGCCACTATTTAAGGCGTGATTGGTTTCAATAACAATATCTATCATCTTACTTAGACTTCGTAGTATTATCTTGTTTCGTTTCAAATGTTTGATATCATTTACCATTTACACTATCCTGTTTATAGCCCCTATTTTGTCGTTTTTGCTTGTGCCAAATGGATTTATTAACTGACACTTATAGTTATTGGAAAATCCATTTGTTTAGTAGTCTACTCTGACGGTTGCAATAAGCTTAGATTGATATATGTCAGTTTTTTAAATGTACGATTGATGTTTAAAGTTAGAGTTGGGTATTATCAACCAGATTACCTTGCATCTATAATCACAATGAATTTCAGAAATCAGTCATTAAATATTATAATTTTACCGAATCGCGTTACATTATTATGTGTGTCAATTAACTTTCAATATTAAAGATCAATCATTTTTTCACTTTAACTGTATATTAATTTACACTTCACTACCATTTATTATGCATTAAGAGTTCAGTGTTATTTTTTACATGTTTGCTCTTAGAATATGGTGATTCATGTTATGTTTTTCCTGTTACTGTGGTATTTCCTTGCATTTTTTCACCATAGCATGCGTTTTCCACCTTCAACGTTCCAAAACACAGAAGGGTCAAATTCGTCGGAGCCTGCGTGATATTCAAAATATCAAACATCCTGCACTTTTGGATCCTGTCTCATCAAGATATCTTGAATTATCTAGTCCATCTTCAGAAAAATTAGATCGCTGGCACCGGTTATTACTTTCAGCTCAAAGTGGAATCTCTTTAAATACCATTGTTTGGAATGCCAATGGCAGCATTCTTTACGGTACTACCAAAGGTCTCATCGTAATTTCTCATGGAAATCAATCTTCTTCCGTATCAATTCTACCACTCCGTTGTACCAAGTCACATATGCAGTCTGTGAACGACTGCGAAGTTTCTTATAGAAGAAAACACTTTATAAATCAAGCACAAACTATTACTAGTTCCTCTAACTTTTCCGTTCCTCAGTCTCGTGCTGTAATTTAAATACTGACTTTTTAAATCTATGTATAATTTAGGTTTACTGTGCATTTAGTTTATCTTAATTTTTGCTCATTTTACTGGTAAACCCATCTGTAATCATATTTCTACTGGATTTAAACAAAAATAGACGCTTTATGGCGATTCCAATCCCACATTCAGAGTACCTATCTTAATTTTCTATCTGGAAACCGGTAGTGATTAAAATAAAAGTTTATTTTTTATAACTCCGTTCCATTTTTTTAAAATATTTAAGTTTATTATACTACAGTTCATATAGTGTTGTTTTCTCACTATGTAAAACAGATTTCCACTAAATCGATCATGTTTGTTTATAAACCTGCTCACTGACTATTCAGGAATTGTTTGTTCACTATATTGTACGATTTTAACTATTTTCCCACTTGCGTTTTACCAAAAGCAAAGATATTTTGTTTCATACTAATCGTTTCATTTTTGTTACGCAGAAAGTTAATATTTATGTTAGAACTTGTTATTATGTGAAAGGTTTACTTCCTTGTGTTTGTTTTCTTCTTTTGTATAATCTACCTCAGCTATGTCCCAGTGATCTTTAATGTTACTAACTCGGTTTTACTTTTATTTTGAAATTCTAACTCATTTCTTATTAAAAATATATATTTCCGGTTTGAGTTTTATCTGGTCTCTTTTTTTATTCATAAACTTATTTTCTTTAATTGAGATTACAAAGTATCTATGATGAATGTGCAACACAGTGAATTCTTTTAAGTTTATGTAAACTACAAGTAACTTCAGTTATGTAGATACTTCTAGTTGTTTCCAATTGTTTTCCATCGAAGTCAGTTCTGAACCTTGTAAGTTAATCGTACCTATTGTTATATTTTCTCTCATATAACAGTGAAAAAACGGGATAAGTCACCACTCATTTATTTTATCACATATTCTTGCTAGTAGCTTTACGATTTTACAGGACATATATATCTTTTTAGCTTACTCATTTCGTTATTCTTCTATTCGACATTTTTTTTTATTATCATTTGATGGTGGTTAGTGCTTTCCATAAAATATCTACAGTATCCAATTTATTCATTGATCTCGGAAGCTAAAAATATCAAAAACACTTATTCGTCCTGTGTATGCCTGAACACCGATTACCACGACGTGCAATGCTAACCGGTGTTGGAGATGGTTGGAAGAAAGTTAGGGGCGGCCAAACCAAAACGTGGCATCAGTACTTGAAGTCACTAACTTCTGATCTGAGCCATGTTGGTAGATGCAGACAATTTGGTTGGGGTCCGCGTGACTATTGTATCCAATGGTTGGAGACTCTTGGTGATATGGCTCATAATCGACCACAACGCCGTAGGTGTATACACTCCCTGTCTTCCCTTAAACTAAGAGATTAAAATTGCTTCATATCTTTCTTTTTACCAACTGATTATTTCTTCCCGTTATACGTTCTTATATGCAATCTTTCTTTTATATAATACCACCTCTGAATTAACTACTTTTATGAATCCGGTGTCCATCTTGTTGTGTTAATGAGGTATGGCAACTTGGATCGATGCAAATATGTGCCTGATCCTACATTGTAGCTGACTGACTGAGTTGCTAGTTATTCAGATGATCATAGGTACCCATCACGGAGTTACTCATTTCCAAAATATATATAACTTCGTAGGGGAGGTAGTCTGTTTCCTGAGATCCTATGTAGATCCATAGAATCTATAAGAATTGAACCAAGAAATCTTGACCTTAAATAACTAACGTTTGCTTGTTTTCGTCAAATAATGAACGGAATTTGTTTATTGGTTGTCGACCAAAAATTTCCAATTTTAAGTAATTTATCAGGTATGGATTCGTATACTTTGAGCTACGTTCTAAGTGTGAGCGCTAGCAATACTATCAGGCTCCCTGAACTAAGGTAGGCAACGTGGAGTTCGGGCCTGTGACTTATTGACTGAATTGAACGCTTTAACCATTGAACCACCATCCTTGGTAATGTGCGGTGTAGTTTGCCATTTATATTTGGGAAATAACCATGTCCATTATTGTGAAACCGCTCATATAGAAATGTACATTTCTATCGGAAACCTTTGTTAAACAAAAAAAGTTGTGAACCTCACTTTGCTTAACATTAGATGATGGACGTTTACATTCATTTTGGAAGGACTGAAATTACTAATATGTAGGAGCGTTTCTGAATTTAGGGATGATCTGAATTAGAGTCATTCTAAAAGTTATGGACTTTTAGTGGAAATAAAAACAGTCATTTTCTGTAAGTCTTGGAATATAAAAATAATACAATCCATTCTCATATCTGGACTCTATCATGGCTAAGGTTTTTTCAACATGACTTTTTAAAACCGCTCATTTTTCTGATCGCTATATTTAAATATTTTACTACTTAAGTACATAAAATTCAACTAAAATAGTGTGATGTACAAAAGTGATCGTAAATTTATCGTCAACTGTATGCGATGAATCCGATATTTGAAATCGACTGATCGTTATTTATAAATATGACCTCAAAATGTTAACCCCGAATGACATATATATCGACCTGCTATAAGCAATGGTTGAATACATTAAACAGATCGATCTATAAACAATGAAGTTTGTAATTTGTCTCATCAGTATGATATATCTGAAGATTGGTTGTGGTTTCTGTGCGAATTTCTATTCAGTATGTGAAATGAGAAAATTAAGTATTCCTTCTAAACTATTTTCAGGTACTTCTAACTAGTTACGGTATTTATAAATAGTATTTCTAACCAAAGGGTATCTTCTGTTTTTGAGACTTACAAATACACAGCAGTGATATATATGTAGCTTGCATTTATTTGTTTTGAGTCACTCATCATCTACACAATCCTATTTGACTGATCTCGATCGCTGATCGTTCCAGTTTATGAGAAGAGACAAATTGTCTTATGATAACCGCAAGAATCAGCTTAATCAACATGGTGTCTAAAATACTAACCTGTAATAATCCGACGCTTAACTAGGGCTCATATATAGCAAACCTGGGAAAACCAGGGTTGTTTTTGACATACACGTGGATGTGTTGATCGAATATTTACTGTTCAGGTTTTAGAACACATGCATTTTTAACAGATAACTAAAGATGTGTTTCTTGGCCTTAAAGTAGTATTTGATCCTGCTGATCGAGTGGTGTTGTGACAGTGTTTCTTACCGAATGCCCTCTACTCGTACACTATTATTCGATCTAGAAATTATTTCGAACTGACAAATTGGGCCGGTGGTGGGAAACAATGAGTGAAGTCACAGAAGCATTTACTCTGTCTTCCCTTGGATCTCGAGTCTGAAAATGTTTTTTCGTTCTTCTCGAACTATATTGTCTATAATAATTCTTTCTGCTACTACCGATACCATTATCTTGATAATTTCATCTCTCTATCGTGTGGCATGGTCTTGAATCACTCACGGTATACTACTCAGCAATTGTTTCTGTTCTACTTTACAGCTACGAAACGTGGCCATTAAGGATATGGTAACTAATAGGTTACAAGTATATGCTCACAGATGTCTTAGAAATATTGCTCACATCTTCTGGGATCACCGGGTAAGTAATGGTGAGGTTAGACGCAGTGTATTAGGAAATTATGGTAAAACAGTTGATCAGGTTGTGAATCTACATCGACTGAGGTGGTCGGGTCATGTGTTGCTTATGCTTGAGCACCGATTACCACGAAGCGCAATACTGACTAGTGTTGGAGATGGCTGGGAGAAAGTTAGGGGCGTCCAAATCAGAAAGTGGCATCAGTACTTGAAGTCACTAACTTCTAGTCTGAGCCATGTTAGCAGATTCATACTACTTGGTTGGGGTGCACGCGACTATTGTATCCAATGTTTGGAGACTCTTGGTGACATGGCTCATAATCGACCACAACGCCGTAGGTGTATGCACTCTTTGTCATCCCTTAATCCATGAGATTAAATTACTCTATATCTTTCTTCCTACGAACTAACCTTTTCTCCCTTTATCATATGCTCATATGAAGTGCTTTTTTCTACCATCGAACTGGCTGCTTCGATGAATTTGGTGTTCATCCTGTTGTGCTAATAAGATATGACAACTTGGACCGATGCAAATATGTGCCTGGTCCTAAGTTGTAGCCGACCGACTCACCCACGGGACACGAATGAATAGTTTTTGAATTCATAGTTTCCAAAATCCATATTTAGCTCAATGATAATTTGGAATAATTTTATTTACCAGCTGGCTTATTACTCAAAATCTGAGAATACTAGGCACTGTTTTCATTGGAGTATAAAACTTGGTGATTGAGCACTTTCAACTTAACTCAGGAAGAGGCATTAAGTTCATGTTTCGAAATGACACAACGACATGAAATGTTAGCAGTTAAACCCTAACCATTTCGCGATATTTACAGACTGCTATTTGTCATCATCAGTGAATGTGTTTTCTTAATCGTGACCAACTGCAACTGAACAAAAATTGGCGGAAGCTGTTTGGCGACTAATACTCAGTAGCTAGTAACCGAGCGCTGAAACATATAAGTTGTAGTTTCATTGTAATTGGTAAAACGATCCAAGTAAAATATGAAAATTACTGAAAAAATCAAGAAGGGCAAATTGATGTTATGCTCATGGGCTTAGTTTTCATATTCTAACTATACGGATTTTAGAAGACAATATGACTGTACAAAGTATTTAATTAAGTCATTGTAAGTGGGTTATTTAACAGATAGCATGTAATTAATATGCACCAATATTTAATGAAGTTGAAAAGAAAAAAGAAAATTCTGATAAGTCGTGTAGGTTGAACGCTATATACGATTCCTAAGCTATTTCGGTAACCCGCAGTCTAGAACTACACAGCGACTTGAACTCCAGAGAGAAGACACAAGAATGAGAGAAAGCACTTTATTCCAAGGTTCATTTTTGTACAGAAAATCATGGGTATTTATAGATTTTGGCGTCTGTTAAATCAACATCATTTTACAGCCAATCCGATAACAACACATTATGCTACCGACCAATAGTAGCACGCCACGTTGGAATTCTAGAACGTTCCATCACACTCTGATTGGCCAGGACTCTTCGGCTCCTTGTGGGCCTCTGG